GGGGGCCACATAAAATGATGTGGCCCGGGCCTTGAGTTTGACACCTGTGGTGTAGATAGTGCCGGGATTTCGTTTGTGCAAAACAACATCACTTTAGCTAAGGACCCCCGAAAACGGCACCAATGAAGAGACACGCCGATGAAGCACATTTTAAACTGCAAGCGATGAGTTACGCAGAAGAACATGGCAATCAAGCAGCCGCGGGAGAATTTAAAGATCAATGAATCCATAGTTTGCAAGTGGAGGAAGTAAGAAAACGAGCTTCGCCAAGTCAAGAAGACGAAGCTGAGTTTCCGTGGAAACAAGGCAAGGTGGCCCGAGTTTGAAGACCAACTCGAGTGATGAATTAATAATCAACAAACAGCTGGGAGAAGCGTCTCTACCGTTACCATTCGACTGGGGGCAGTAACGCTTGCAGAAGAAATGAAAATCGAACATTTGGTCGTGAAAATACAGTAACCTGCAATTGACTGGTGACCAGTCCAGCGCATTCTACCCATATCCCGCCAAAAGTCAGCAAGGATAGGATCCCGCACACATGCAAACCTTATGAGGTACAGATAAAATAATTTTTTAAAATGGGTGGCATTTAACCATGTACAAAATTTCTATTGAGTGTTCAATATGTGAAGATTCTAAACCCCTCAACTATTGTGTTTGTTGTAACTTGCTTGTCGAACTGAACAGTAAGCTTGATACTGAAAGCCAGAACCAAGTATGGCTTCCACTCAATACCGACAGTCATTTAATTTCACATTCCTCTTTATTCATCTCTTCATTCAGAAAGCTGCAAAGGGCCAGCAGGTTGTTTCTAAAAGTGGATTTCTGGAGCATGTTAGGGTCGATTTTCAGCTGCCCGCGTGTGTGTGTGTGTGTGTGTGTGTGTGTGTTCTTACACAGGCCTTTTCCTCATGACTGCTGAGCTCACGGAGGACGTGCTCGGCATGGACAGGATTTACGCTGACCTCTGAGAAACCGCACAACCGTTCCGACGTGGCATCAAGTTGGCAGCGCACCTGTGAGCGATATCACATCATCAAAGCATGGTTGCAGAGAACATTTTGTTGCCTAGCACAGGCTGGAAATTTTCTCAACTCACTTCACGGAAGTGCTGCTCAAAACTTCGAAGTTGCAAACACTGTTCCAGCTTGGAGCGATGGCGTTCCCAGAAATCGTCAAATGCTGTCTCGGTCTCGTCCAGCTGACCCAGGAGTCTGAGGGTGGGATGAGAAACACGGCAGACAAGAGAATAAACAAGTCCAACATCACACACAGTCAAGTTACTCTTACCGCTGCACAGTGGCGAGGTTTTCCAGCTCATCATGGGTCATTAGGTATTCCGCGTCAGTCCGAAAAGGCTCGTTGATGCACTCCAATAGACGCGCGCCCTGAGATTGCGACACCTGTAGGTCCTCCTGGAAAAGAAAGTTTTGAAGAGATGAGAAATTTCCTCTGAGTACATCAACCACATGATAATGACAAATAGTAGCATCCAAAAATTCACTTTTTGGAAAAAAATGACCAGCAAAGTGCAAATCCAAATTAGTGCAGATACTTTTCTTTTTCTTTCAAAGTAATTATGAGAAACTCTACCCATGACAGAGAGTGAGAAAGAGACCTTCATTTTGTCTTTTTTTTGAGAATGCAAGTCCAGCAGGCTGGTGGTGGCCTCAGCATCATTGGGCATTTCTGTTTCTGCAAGCTCGGTGCCAAAGGCCTGCAGAGTGTGAGCCGTCGTCTTCACCATCAGAGCAAACGCTTCAATTGCCTGCATCGGAAATGCAGAAACAGAGACAGACAGATCCATTGGTGCCTAAAAAAAGAACAATGTGTTTCCAAAAGATGGTGACCCTGAGGAGCGTGTGTGCGTGCGTGCATACAGTGCGGTGGGAAATCCAGCTTTCATGGCAGTATTCTTGTGTGCCCCCCAATTCCGTTGTTAGTTGTCCGGGGTCGATGTAGGCATGGAGCTCGGTCACCGAACTCAGCATGACCACCTGCAAGGACGCATAAGAAGCAGAGCAGAGTCAAGCACAGCAGACAAATTGATCCAATTACGAGACAGGAAGTCCCGGGAATGACAATAACAAGGAGGTCAGCCCCACCTTCATTTTGAACTCATCCTTGTTGAACTTGAAGAGGAAGTCTGACAGTGCCCGCTGCAGCAAAGTGGTGGGACGCAACACCAGAACCAAGTTGACAGTCGCTGGGAAGGCGCCCTAGAGGAGCATTATTAGTATCAGGGCTCACAATATATAGTTCTGTGTGTGTGTGTGTGTGTATATATATATATATATATATGTATATATATATATATATGTGTGTGTGTGTGTGTGTGTGTGTGTGTGTGTGTGTATGTATAATTCTTTAGAAACAGAAAGTTAATTCTTTCATTGTTTAAGTAATGTGATCGGAATATAATGACATTTAGAAACAATTTTAGGAAATAATTCTTCGATGAGTTCTGATTAAATGTATTCTGAATGCAAAGGAGCGAAGAAGAAAATGAAATCTGACATTTCCTGCCCCTTTTTCCAGGCAAATATTTACACCTCTCCAATCTTTAACCACACTTAAACTTACTAAAAGGGCTGTCTGTCTTTTAAAAAAAAAAAAAAAAAAAAAATGCAAAAATCGAATTTCGGTCTGTGTTTTTTTTTTTTTTTCCTTACTGTCATTTATTCATATATCGCCATCCGCTAACACAACACGCGTGTTTGCGCAGCGCGCCCTGTACCAGTCGTCCCACAGCGACGAGAACGACGTGCAGACAATCAGCCACAAATGTCTGGTGGTCGGCGTGGAGGAGTACGAGCAGATGACCCACACGCGTCGCTACGCCGAGAGCGAGGACCTCTACTACCTGGCCGGCACCTACGAGCCCACCACGGGCATGATCTTCAACACGGACGGCGTCCCGGTCATCTGCTAAGCAAAAAAAAAACAAAACAAACCACACACACACACACACACACAAACTCGCCTGCTTGCGGGTTCGCTGGCACCTGGCGAGGAGACACGCGGACGGTCCACCGCAGAGACTATTAAAAGGACCCGTCGACACAGCTCGTGCGCAAACCCTTTCGACTGACCTTGTACGAACACAGCCGTGTAAATACTCATGTAACAGGAAGCTCTATCCAGGCAAATATGAGTGTTTGATTTTTCACGTGATAGCTCGAGAAGCTTTTAACGAAATGTGAGCGACGACACAGGTTGTGATTCTGGTGTTGCCGTGGTGATGTTTCAGTCAATGTCTCAATAAGTCTTTTTCGATGTATCCGGAGAACAGCAGGAGCGACAGATGCAAAAGGCGCGGAAAGCTCAAGAGGTGGAGACTCCCTTCCAATTTGCTGTCCAAACAGAGAGCACTTAGAAGAAGAATAAAATCCAACACTCGGGCTCTTTTCACGCAACCCCCTCCTTAGCTCCCCCCTTGACAATCGAAACTCCCTCCGACACTCAGGCTCAAGAGAGAGAAGGTAGACTCGTAGGACACTTGTTAAAAGCACTTGTCCCTTTTTCATCCACCTGATGATCCAAATCCACCCTGAAATCCAGTTTGGAGGTGCAACAAAGAATCCGAGCAATAGATTTTGTCCACAGTCGATGAAACTGGGTCAGATTGCACAAATCTTCGGAGCTCAGGGTGGACTTTTTCGCATATTTTTTATTTTTTTTCCTCCCGGCTTGTAAACACATCGTCAACCTGTGTATGTGTTCAATGTATGAATGTATTTTTTTTTCATACATTCATCCTTTGCCGCTTTTTTTTTTAAGCACGTTTCGGTCTCTACGTGGTCACGAGTGCACTTTGAATAACTTTTTGACAGAGGGTCTTGGTATTTCTAACTGGGGTTTTTAATCATAGCCCCCTTGACTCTCTTTTCGTCACACAGGCATCACACTTTCCCCCTCCCACTCCCCCCCCCGTGCCTATTTTGACCATTTTTAGGTTTCAAATGTTGAATGTCGTTCTGAAGACTAGCCTAGCCGGCGACTGTTTTCTCCCAGCCAGGGCTACCAATGTTAATGAGAATGATTTTTGCCAAATCGTTAAGCTGACCCCGTCTCGGCGCCCTATTGTGGGCACCAAACCGGAAACGGTTCTCTGCGTTTGGTGCTGAATAGTTGTCCGGTTAAGAGCGGATCCGATTAATCCGAAGCGCCAGTGCGCGCAGACACGAAAGTTTGTCTCGTTTTGCCATTCGTGAGGTTTCATTTTACGTTCATCTTTGTTACGGTTCCGTTTTTTTTACCAATGAAACAAGTCCTAAGTGGAGGTCCGCATTTCTTAAAAAAACAAAAACACAAGAACGTTTGATCATATGCTGCTAGTTCTATTCATATTTGAGGTTTGACAAGGTACAGTGAGACTCAAGAAGCCAGACGACCCGCATGAGGGTGTAGGTCACAAAAAAAAAAAAAAAAAGTGATCACACAAATCAACAAGAAGTGCTGGTTCTGAATGTTTGTGAAAAGCACTTTTCTCCGTTTGTGTGTGAGACGGTGAGAGAGAAGGCTCTCTCACACACACACACACACACGCACGCATTTATTTTGTAACCCATCTGGATGTATTAAGGCCTTCCAGTCTCTCTTGGCCCCACGTCCATCCAAAGCTCGCTCAGCCTTACAGGGTCCAACATGCACACCCTCATTCCCCAACGTGTCCTCTTTATTTTCATTTGAGATATTTTGTATAATCAACTAGTATGTGTTTTGTGTGTGTGTGTGTTTTTTTTTTTATTTTTATTTTTTTAAATTTCTTGGCTTGCTTTTGCTGTGACTTTTTTGGGGGGGGGGGTGTATATTATATGCACACGTCTTATTTTGATTTTATTTTTTTACCCCTCTCTGAACAATCGTCCACGCCTGCTGACAGGCATTGGGAGCTAGCTGCTAGAGAGAGAGAGAGAGAGAATATGAGAGAGAGAGAGGTGGACTGGAGGCTGGTTCTTCGTCTGCTGTTCCTGATATCGTAAATCGTCCTGTTACAGAAAAAAACAGATTATTTTGAAAATGAATCGAAAAAAAAATGATCTACGTTTTGTAAATGATCCTTCGCCGTCGAGGGAGAGAGAGAGAAAAAAAACTTATCAGAATATACTTTGTACACGTCTAATCTTGTAAAAAATGCAAAAGGATACATTTTAATGCGAAATCAAACGCCAGATATATACTGTTGCTCTATACTGTATGTGTTAGGAATATTTTATTTTATTATTATTTTTTTTTTTTACAGACGACCACGTTTACCAGTGTTTCTTTTTAATGGTTTTAGTAACTCAGTATTTTCTATAGTTAATAAACAGATGGAACTGTACTTTTGGTGTTCTGTGTCAGTTTTTGAGGTTGAAAGGAGGAGTTTGCAGTAAAAAATAAAGAAAAAGAAATGCTCTAAATTATCATCATGACCTGATAGACATAAGTATGATGTGTGTGTGTGTGGGGGGGGGGGGGAATCTATCTCTCGCCTCACCTTGTACCTCTAATTTAATATGCAAGAAACCACAGCACCCGAGGAAAAACAACCAATCATATAAGGCATCACTCAAGTGATGCCCACTTGTGGCCACGTCACCTTATGAATTTTTTGGGAATATGGGAGTAAGCCCACACATTCCCCCCCCCCCCACCCCCGTCTCAGAGATGTAAGGCGAATTTGCGAACCACTTTTTTTTATCGTGCTGCCTCAGCTCGAGAGCAGAATTACAAACTGGTTCCTCTGTAAGAATGGAACTTAACAGATATATTTTGTATTGCCATAACATCAGCCGATATTGTACACACTTTTACAGCACGAGTTGGAACGAGTGCTCAAAATGTTTTTAGCTGATACAAAGACAATTTCCAATTAGAGTGGGCTAGCGTCCTTGCAAGATGTTGGAATTAAAGCTAAACGGAATATTTTTTGGCACCTTTCAATGTTTTGCTTTGGCTTCAGTGCTCCGTTCCAGGGAGCTCCTAACCACTTTGTACGTCTCATTTTGTTTCCTTCCTCATGTGGCCTGTGCGCGTTCGAGTGGACTGCCCCTTTAATCATCAGTGGACTCCATTTTGGCAGCCTTGTAATGAAGCTGCTGGTTGTGATAAAATGGAGGGAACTTCAGCTTCCTCCACTGAGCCCCTCAGCTGACCGCAGGAGATGCATTTTCCACTGCTGACCCTTCAGGGTGCGTGCGCGTCTGTGTGTGTGTGTGTGTGTGTGTGTGTGTGTGTGTGTGTGTGTGTGTGTGTGTGTGTGTGTGTGTGCGCGTGTGCACCTTTTTGGCATTCCACTGTGTCTGGAGGTAATTAAATATTTGCTGACATGCAATGTGCGCGCGCGAGATGGAGATCCAGTTTCATGGAGAGCGCCGCAGTCTGGGGTTTGGCTCCCTCTCAGTTTCTCCCCAAGGACCAGCATCAGCATAACATCAGCACCTGCTGGGAGAATCTTCCCTCCCTCTCACATGTGCGTACGAGAGAGGCATCTTTTAGCACATTGTCTCTCCCTCTCGCTTCCCTCAGCAGTGTTTTACACACACACACACACACACACACACGCACACACACACACCCTCTCACTATCCTGTGGGTGTGTTGGCAGGAAGGATTGTGATAGGCTGACATCTCATGCGCAGAAATCTTCTACTGGCTGAGGCTTGTTACACCGAGGGAAGTGTGTGTGTGTGTGTGTGTGTGTGTGTGTGTGTGTGTGTGTGTCACTTGTACCATTTTTTAAACAGTTCTCAGCCCCCTCCAGACTGCTGTCGGTGTATGTGTGTTCTCAGCAGCCGTTTCCCAGGAGACAGGTGTCTTAAGTGAGGGTTTAAGGGAGGGGGCGTTAAAAAAAAAAAAAAAAAAAAAAAAGCACAGTGCACAAACAGTTGAAAAGCTTCCTATGATATCCCGACTTTGACAATGTAACACCAGCGAACTGTTTGTCCTTCTGTTTTGTCACAATGCAGAAAAAAAAGGGCAAAGTTGGCCTCACTGTCGGATACTCTCAACAGAGCAGTTGTCATTCCTCCTCTTGGTTTATTCGACAAAGTGACGACAGTTAAGTTTGGCAAAAACATCTCCAAAAGGAACGTGCAAATCAAGCTGTCAACAGGAAGATGCTTGCAGTCTTCATGTCACGAACAGCCGCATTCAGTCACTCTATAATGAAATGTATCAGCCTGATATGAGTGGGCGTGGTGGTGGTGGTGGGGGGGGGGGTTCCCCGAATTTGGATGCTTTGGAATGCAAGGTCAATTCCTTTGTTTTGGTTGTATTATACCAAAGATGGGTTTCAAGACCAAAAGATGAAAATGAGATAAAAGTTCATGAGTCCAGTTTTTATTTCATCGTATTTACATCGAAATGTGTCCCAACAACTCCGACCAGAGCATCTTTTCACTTTCCGAGTGAGCAAAAGGGGTGCGACATGTGACTGGGGGTTTCGAGTTGCTCAACTTGCTCAGGTGTTGCCTTTTTAGATTGACCGCTTCCAACATTGTAGTTTTTGTTTTTGGCTTTGAGTCTCACCTGTGAAAACAGAATTGACTCTTAAGCAAACATGAAAAACCAGAGCTGCCTATGTCATTCCAAGTTGTCCTTTTCCAGGACAACTTTGGAAGGTCCTGAAAAAGGAAACGTCTGGTAAAGCGAGCAACAGACATCGAACAGGTTAGCCAAGGGTTAGCAAACAGCAGTTGACGGCAGCAACATTGTGAGAGCTGTGAAGAAGCGCCAGATATCACATTCCACGGTTTGAAGATGACTTTTGAGAGAAGAATCCAGGCCATATCACAAGATGTAAACTTATAATCATCAGCAAAAAGTATCAGGAGACCAGATTGGATTTTGCAAACAAGTACGAAGATGAGCCGCAAACCAGTTTATTGAGAAGTGAATTGATTTCACTGCTGCCGTACAGCGCCGCAATCTGAAGGCTTCGCTATTAAGCGAAAATTAAAAAATGACTTACGTACAATGAAAACAAACTTCTCTGCACACCAAAAAAAGGTTCCCTGTTTTATTAATTTACAAAATGCTTGTACTGAGATGAATGCCATACCACGTTTTTTTAAAAATCAAGAGCTAGCTAGCATTGGCTTAGCTCCTGAAATTGGAAAAAAAGGTGTTCCCATTAGCCTTGCTCCAAAAATGTGGACTGTTTGACCACTCTGCATTGCATTTCCAGCAATTTTTTTTTCTGGTTCCCTTTGAGTGTAGGAGCAGCAGTACAATCTGCTTCTTCACAGATGTTATAGATCTCAAATGATAAATTGGAAGCCGTCCTATTTCCTTTTGCACTGTCGTCCGCGTTCTTGTGCATCAGTTCCACTTTGATGATTCCTTGGTTATTAATTGCCTCCCTCACACGGTGACAATTAAAGGTTTAATGAGAATACTCGGAGGAGGAGAAGGAGGAAGGGATGAGGAGTTCATCACTGGGAGAGAGCCAGGCATGCTTCGCCGCTCTCTTCGTAATCGTGCTTGTCCTCCGCGCACGGGCTGCGCGCGTCTCCGTGGGGCTGTCGGCCACCTGTTGCCCGCTGGCCAGAGCCGAGTAGTAGAGGTCACTGGACGATTCGATCATTGGGATGAGCATGAGGCTCCGGTGAAGACGCTGCCCTCCTCTCTGAACGCGGGAGCTGTGCAGTTTTCCCCAAAAAGCGTAATAACGCCTTACTATTAACGGTTGTTTTTTTCGGCTAAAAACGCCTTACTATACTATGTCGTTTTTTTCGTGCCAAAAACGGCATACGATACTATGTCATTTTTTTCGTGCCAAAAACACCTTACTATACTATGTCGTTTTTTTCGGCTAAAAACGCCTTACTATACTATGTCGTTTTTTCGTGCTTAAAAACGCCTATACTATGTCGTTTTTTTCGTGCCAAAAACG